CTATTATGGCAAATGTTAGAATGGAAAGGACAATATTACTGTCACTGAAAAGGATTAGCAACAGAAAAATTTCATATTCATCTAACATGCTAAATACTTACCATTTCTCGACATTTTAATGAGGGATTTCACAACATTTGCATTGAACACATCAAGGAAGCAAAATCTGCAATACTTTGGCCATCTCTGTTCATTCAGAGGTCATATTTTATTTGAGAACAATTTTGTATATAAGGTCACATGGATGGACATTTAGCCAACTAACTTTTGGCTGATGGACATTTCACCAAAAAAGTACAAGTAAAAATAGTAACAATGCTTTAATGTAAGGGAGAATAGGACTAATAATTACCACTGAATTTCAAGTGATTAAATTACTAAATCTATATTTAAACTTAAAAGTTTTCTCATTTAAATATTTGTTTATTGAAATTAGTATCTTTAAAAATATTTGAGTGTATTTGGATAAAAAGTAGCACCTAATTATTTAAATTCGTATTTAACAGTAAGATAAAAAGCTAGTTTATCTCTTTAATAATCATTAAAAATGAAATTGAAAAATCTTTCATATCGTAAAAGCTTAAGATTTTTGCTGTAGTAAAATGTGCTTTTTCTCAAAATACAGTAATATTTGAAGTAAAATATAATATATACAGAATAGATTTTTAAAAAAGCCTGTCAAAAAACAGAAAAATTATAAATTAATAGAATAAATAAATATAAATATATGTAGCACATTACAATAAAGAGTGTGACATACATGTAAGTATGCCACTACATTTTCGGCTAAATGTCCATTTGGTTAAATGTCTGTCGGTCAAATGTCCGAGTATCATAGGGACAATCATAGGGACAATTTTGTTCACCTCTGCTGGTGTCTTTCTGCCTTGATTTTAAGTTTGAGATAATTTTTATGGAGTTAAAAACAACTTTCCTTAATTGATTATTGGAATTAGTATGTTATTTTACATCTTAGTTATAAAACATCAGGGTCACATGGCACCAACAGTCATTGGATTGTTGGTCACATGACAGCAACAGTCACTGAATTGGTGGTCACATAACAATAGCAGTCATGAGATCGTAGGCACATAGCATGAACAATGATTGGATTGGTGGGTGCATGGTGGCAACAGTCATTGGATTCGTGGTCACATGAGAGCAACAGTCATTGGGATAGTGGTCACATGACAATAGCAGTCATTCAATCATGGTCACATGGTGTTGTTCATGATGATGGTTGTCTTTGAGTATAGAATCCAGAGGTTAACAGTGAATATTTTGAAGACAGTAGGGAAGCGTAGTTCAGGTTAGCAGTGGATATCCCGGTAAAGTAGCAGAGCATAGTTCTTCCTTCTGTTCCTCTTCGCCTGACAAGCTGGCACTGGACATTTGGATAGAGTAAACAAAATGGCTGCCTTTATACACGACGGATTGAATATTCTACATCTTCTGATTGGTTAACCTTCTATTGGTGGACTATAAAACGAGTCAAGTCATTTGGACTGGCTCACTAGTACATACATATACACAAAAAACTGCAACACATGGCACTAACAATCATTGGATTGGTGGGTACATGGTGGCAACAGCCATTCGGATAGTGGTCACATGACAGCAACAGCCATTCGGATAGTGGTCACATCAGTCATTAGATTGTGATCGCATGCTGTTTACAATCATTGGATTGGTGGGCATATGGCAGCAACAATCATTGGATTGAGATTGAATGACGGCAGTAATTATTGACTTATTGAGGAATAATGTCTCAAAAATTTATGGCTGATGTGTTTACGGGGTGGTACTTAGTACCAAGTCATTAGTCTGTCAATGTCTAATTCTAATAATGTTTTTCCCAGGGTCTGCAACAATCTGAGACCGCAGTTATATAGACTCACTGTACTGAAAGCCGAGTTTTCTGTAATGTGTTAATTTTACATGTTTGGCCATTCCAGGTTCCCAATCAGCGACTGCTCTGAACCAAAACAGAAATAAAGTCAAACAATGAAGGATCCTAATGGATATACAAAATCATAATTGTACATCTATTGTGAACAACAGCAATAGACTAGTTTGGAAACTTCCACTAAGATTTACCAGCAGGTTCATCTAACGGACAATCAGGTCAGCACAATAAAAGACTGAGTCGGTTGTACGTGATGCTGTAAACACCAGGAGTTGCATCCTCTTCCACAATGGGCAGTTGTCAAAAGACCTACTTAGATTGCATATGAATGATACTGGGTAGGTATTTGGCAACAGTCAGTGTGGGTCTGAGACTAGGAGAGCTATATAACACCATTTTTTTTTCTCAATCAACAGAAGCGCTGTTGACATGCAAAAACCAGACAAGACAGTTTAATTCAAGTGATTAAATCTGGTAATAAAAATAATCCTATTAAAATTATAAAAATCAAGGAAGCAAAATCTACAATACTTTGGCCATATAAACAGGGCCCAGAACCTCTGCATCCACATTAATGGAGAGTCACATTGATGGTAAAAAAAACTGATAAAACCAAGGCGATGCTGGACTGATGACATCAGAGATTCAACAGGGAGACCGTCGGCAGAGTTGTGGGCAAGCAGAGTAGGAGGAGAAATAAGCAAGCAAGCAGATTACAAATTGTCTATAGGATTAAAAAAATTGAATTCAAGCAAACTTAAGTCAAAGTTCTTTATTTTTTGTTTTAAAATATGGAAATTATTTTATAATTCTTTACATATATATGTTTTTACATTTAATATAAAGATGAATTTTTTTTAAAAAACGTTTTTACATTCAACAACTGCAACTCATATCTTTGTTAGCCAATTTGATATACGCAATAAATGATTTAGTGAAAAAAAATCAACTGGCAAAATTCAAAATATTTATTTTCGCTTTCTTCCTCACACATATTCTTCTCTTTTGCCAATAAGTCGGGTGAGATCCTAATAATCTGAATGGGACTGGTAATCGAAAAATTAAAAAGAAGAGGGTGCATTTTGGGGGGGTATTTAGAATTGTTGTAATCATATTGAGTAAAAACCCTCTTTCAATTTGATGGGTTTTATTTTGCGAAACTGTGGAGTCGAAGGTTACTGGAGTCAGATTTGCAGCTTGAGTGAGCTGTACCAAAAATCGAGGAATCAGAGTTGGATGCTTTGTGTCTGACTCCGCAGCCTTACTGTCATTTGAACAGAAAGTCTACATTTTGCTTCATAGAAGCAAATTCTTACGAAATCAACTTGATAAAGATCTTCAAAAACAATTTAGTATGAGACAAGTCAGACGTTGAGAGAGAGTGAGAGTTGCATACTGGGGACAGAATCACATTGTAGAGACACCTGCATACGTTGCTTGGAAAGGAGAACATTTGTTGCCAATAGACTGACGGTCATTTTTAACAAGCAACGATAACTGCTCATCATTGTGGGCAACCAGAGTAGGAGGAGAAATAAGCAAGCAAGCATGGTGGCAACAGTCATTGGGATAGTGGTCACATGACAATAGCAGTCATTAGATCATGGTCACATGCAACTGATATAAGATATATAATATTTGAAGCAATGTGGCTTTTTGCATCATAAATATAATACTATATATATTATATAAAAAAACAAGTTTGTGGATCAACTATATGGTTTCATTTGATGTCATCATATGTGAATGAAATCAACATACTGAAAATGGACAATACCTGATTTGGTGAAAAAGACTCAATAATAGGTGGAATTTAAATTTAGTTATATAAATACATTCTTCCTTCATTTCAGAAATTCTAAGGTACTTTCTTTTGATATCCACAATGGTTTAAACATTTCATTCAAGATAGATGCTTAGCTTTGGCTATGTCAGTACCCCTTGCAGATTTGGGGGCTGAATGTATAAAATTGTTTATTACTGTCTGACAAATTACTAATTCCCTTAACCATCGTCTCTCTAAGCTTTCCCATATGAGAGCTACATTTTATATTTTACGTATATTCATAAGCCAGTTTTTTGTAATTGGCATGATTCGCAAAAATGTGACAATGTTTTGATCACACTAAGAAATGATATATTCTCCTGTTTCTATGCAGTGTCCATTCAGGACATGGCAATCCATGGTTCTCCACAGCTTCCCATCCTTTGTAGCTCTAAGAAACTTTGCACAAGTTCATTAAGTTCCTCTCTTGCCTTCAACATCTCTGAGTGTTAAGTTCTCCAAGCCCTTCTTCCTCATATGTCCCAGAAATTTTAACTCCTGATGGTAAGGATCTGCCCTTTTTGTTCTCATTTTCTTCCCCATTACTTACATGCTGTGCCCAAGGTATTCTTGGTAGTCTTCTGTATAACCAAATCTCTGTTGCTTTAAGTCTCATCTTCAACTGTGAGGAAATTGTCCAGTATTCACTGCCATATAATAATAAAAGGGGAACTAGGTAGGGGGGAGATATGAGTGAATCTAATAAATGGGAGAGGTCCTAATAAACAGGGTGGTTGGAAAATGAATAAAAACAAAACCTTCAAACTATAACAAGACCTTGAAGAAATAAAACTGTAAAGAATAATATAAATTTTATAAATATCTTTAAATAAAATGTTTTAACAAAATTGTAAATATTTTCATAAAGTCTTGCCAATGTCACAATATATACAAATATCCATCAATGGCTAACAATATATATACATTACAAAATCAACGTGTTAACAAAATTGAAAATATTTTCATAATGTCCATTTTTCTCTTCTGGCCAACTTGTATTCTTCTTTTCTGCCAATGTTTGAGTAATTGGAGGTAGTCCTAATAAGGGGGGGGGGGTCCAAAATTTAAAAAGTGGTTGGGGTGCATTTTGGGGGGTATCTAATAGAGTTGTTGTAGTTCTTAATCTGACAGATGTGTTTTATTTTGCAGCATCAGAGGAACTTTGGATTACTGGAATCAAAGTTGTAGCCGCAGTTGGTGGTATCAGAAATTAAGGTGTCAAGGTTGGATGTTTTGTGCCAGACCCCACAGTATTTGTTATTTTGTCATTCAAACCAAAAGCCTACTTTCTGCTCCATGGAAGACTGATATCTGAAATTGTTATGAAATCAATTTGACAAAGATCTGCACTTTAGCATGTGGATCAAATAAATGGCTCCATTTGATATTGCTTATTAAAAACATTTCTTCTGAAGGATGCATGGCAATGAAAGCATCAAAATTAAACTTATGTTTAAAACAGAAAAAGAAACATGAAGAAGTCTTCATTAGTGAAACATTATGGAGCTGATTTATACCACAGTTGAGGATGCAAAGAAAAACTTGAAGAAAACAAAAAATAAATATGTAAAAATAAACAAATAAAAATGCAGAATTCTTTTTTTGGTTTTAGTTTGACTGTACAACAAAATCAATAAGGTAAGGTTATTGAATACCACTGGTGCTAACTCACCTTGAAAGTTTTTTCAACCCATTATCCAGAGAAAAAGATTTGAGGTTTCCTTTCAGAAAATTATATATATATATATATATATATATATATATATATATATATATATATATATATATATATTTATAATTTTTTATTTTTACTCATCTCTTTTTCAGAATGGAATTTCTTTAAAAAAAAAAAAAAAAAAAATAACAAACATTTATCCAAATAATCTTTGTTCACCATATTTGTCTATGATAAAACTCTTTAACAGTTTGACCTTTAACCTTAAGCAACAGTTTTCACTTCAAATAGCTTCCCTTTCTACCCCTCTTTTGATTTGCATTTTGATAGGATGATCACTTAATTCTAACTAAATTACCTCACCCTACCCACTACTAATATTCTTCTAATTGAGTTATTTTTTACATAAACCTAACTTGAATAAATAGTCAATGCTATAGAGAAACCAATACCCAGTAGAGTAAAAAATAAATGACCTTTATGGACATCCATAACTAAAAAAATAAAACTGTCAGCAGTTATGCTAATAGAAATAGCATTTTTATTCAAACTATTAGATATTTTTTTCAGAAATTTTTATTTGATCTAGAATGCTCTATAAAAGAAGAAAAATGTATGAATTATAGATCTGAGGGCGGCCAAAAAAATCTATCAGCAGAAATAAGACAACAAAGCTTGAAACACTGTCCTGAAGAAAATAAACCATTAATTTCAGAGGTTTTTTTTTTTTTAAATTTAAATTCTATTATATTCATTTTAAAGGCAATTTTCTTACTTCTCACAAATAGTGATAAGCTTTTAATAAATGAGGCACACATACACACATGCAGATGCACGCACACACACACACACACACACACACACACACACACATACACACACACACAAAAGCAAAACATAAAGCATTCCTTCTTAAACTGTTGAATGAAACCAAAATGAAGGTTGAAGGACTTAAATTTACATATTTGCATTATTTATCTCTAAATGTGAAAACATTAGGAACTGAATATAAGAACAGGTTTCTTACCTCACACTTCTTACTTGTGGAACTCTGATTTTTTTTTCTTTCTTTTGAAACTCCGGCAAAAGTGAGCCTTGAAAATCGACCACAAGTGTGCCAGCACTTCTCGAAAATCGGCCTTAAATGCACTAACACTTCTCGAAACTCAGGTACAACACTACTTGAAATTTATGAAAATATTTATAGAAATAGCAGAGGAAAATTTATTTATGGCAGTGGGAAAGTGACTGAAGCTTAGATGCCAGGCCAGGACCAATCTGCAAGTGAGATGTGCAAGAGGAGAAACTATCACCATAGAACTCACGGTTCCATCAAACAATTTTCAAGTGTAAAATCATGAAACCTGCACTGAAAATACTGTCATGACTATCAAATTAGATAACAGCTAGTTTACAAAAAAATATCCCCAAATTAATTCACAGCAGAACTAAAAAAAAAAAAAATAGAAAAAAAAGAAGTTAAAATACAATTTGCACACTTTAATAATAATAATAATAAGTATTTAAAGGTGACAAATTTTGCCTACTTAGAGTAAAATAAAACTCAATAGAGTGTACCTTGAGGAAAGTAGTGAGAGAGACAAATATATATATAAATAACTCCTTCCTCAAACTGCTACCTGTAGCGCATAAAAGATTTCATGAGAGATTAAATCAGGAGAAATAGATCTGGTTGACAGTTTCAATTTTTCTTCGGCAGATTGGGCACAGTTGTTGCTGCTTTCCACATTCGGTGCAACACACCATGTGATTACAAGGTATGAAGATTATATTCAGTTTCCTTTCAAAGCAAATTTTACACAGCCGTTCATCTTCTTGCTCCAGGATTATTTGCTTCAACTCCTCGGGGCCTGAAAATGAAAGCAAGAAAACATTTTTTTAAGCTTAAATTAACAGTCTGTTTAGACATATAAGTATTGAAGAAAAAAAAGAAAGTTTTGTATTCTAGAAAAATCCTTACTGAACTGAGACTGAAGGAACAGGGTTAAATGTCAAAGCAATTCTATGAAGACTCAGATTCTAGAAAATTGACATTTTCAGAATTAAAACTTTTGCCTATTTTTCAACATTTTGCATGTCAGCATATGGTACCAAATCTGATACATATGTATCTTCAAATGCTATTTTTAGTGGATACCCGTGCTTGAAATAGACACCCGAATTTTATTGTTGTTTGGTTGGTTTTGTTTAGGGGCATATCAACCTCTATGCCAAAAATCTAATTACTCTGAACACAATTTTATGGCTTCAACTAGATATAACTATATTTTGGATGCAAATGTATGCCTTCAACTAGAACTAAAATGTACTGCTGGTTATTTTGCTTTAAAATATATTGTGGGTCATTTTATTATAAATATGTATTGTTGGTCCCTTTTTTATATAAAAATATATTGCCGGTATTTTTAGTATGAAAATATTGTTTTTATACTTTCATAGTGTTTTGTTTGGGAGTTCATTATTTGCCCATAGCTGGGTCCCTAACAGGTGCTACCATCCCAAGTCTGGGTTGACCTTGGAATAACAACAATCCAATCTTCTGTGTAGCTGATGGAAGGCAGAGATGGGCCTCTCAGATGATTAGTTTTGGAGGTCTTAAAACTGACAAGCCATCTTTTGCTCCTACTAACTTGAGGTTATTTTGGACATCGGCTAAAAAAAAAAAAATATCTTTTTTGATACATGTTGCACAAAATATGAATCGATCTAAAGCAAGAATGAATATAGAAATCAAATATATTTAATAGCAAACCCCAGTTCTCAAGAAGGTCATTCAGTGCTGGACTTACAAGGGTTGGTAGAAAAGTTCAGAGGCCGATCAAGATACTCTCAGGGAATGTGGCCAAATGTGGTTTATCTTTGAATATAATCCACGAGGTGATCCATACTCTTCTTCTGTCTGTATTGCAGTGTTTCGATCCCATTGGTGAAGAAGCATCCAGCCAGTTAATCAAAAAAAGCCATCAGCAGCAGATATGATATAATCATCACTGTAATACTGGTTTCCAGGCAAGCATCTTTTAATGTTGGGAAACAGATGATAATCAGAATGGGCCAAATCAAAAGAATGGAGAGGGTGATCAACCAGTTCAAAGCTACATTCATGCACAGCAGCCATTAAAACCAAAGACTTGTGTGCTGAAGCATTCTCCTGAAGAAACAAGACAGTGTCAGTTTTCCAGGATGTTTAGTTTTGATAGCCTTTTCATAACTGCCTCAGCAAGTCAGCATAGTACTCTCTATTGATGATGCGGTCTTTTAAAGATAGCCAATAAATACAATGTCTTTTGCACCCCAAATAAACTGAGGCTATCATCTTCCCTGTAGATAAAACAACCTTAATCTTCTTTGGAGAAGGAGAGGAGTGATATTTCCACTGCATGGATTGTCTCTGGATCAAAGTGATGACTCCAAAAAGAAAATGTTCAAGGATGTCAGCTGGATTTGTCTCAAACAATGTCTCATTTTCCTGTGATATGATCAGCCTGTGTCAGAAGACATGGTACCCACTGAATAGAAACCTTTCTCATAGCAAGTTCATTGTGTAAAATGTTCTCAACTCTTGTGAGATGTGCTAATAGCATTGGCTATTTAATTTATAGTCAATTGCCTGTCATCCATCACCATCATTGGTGAACATGATCAATGTTTTCATTGGTGGTAATAGCTGCAGGAATTCCAGACCTTAAGTTATCTTTAAGATTCTCCCTTCCTCTCCTAAATTCAGCTGTCCACTTTTGAACAAGCTCAAGTGTCATTCCCTAATGTAGCAACCATATCAACATTAATGTCCTTGGGGGCTAAACCCTTTTTCTGCAGGTGCTTGATAACATCACAATGTCAAATTTTATCCATTTTCAAGAGAAGTCACTACTAATTACTTTTGAAGTCTTCTTTGAACAGTCAGATGTCAGTTTTTATTAAAAGAAAAACAATGCAGTTATTAATAAGAAGAGTTGAAATTAATACAAGATTTCACAGTTCTAGCATCACTCCTTTATAATCAGCCAATGAACTTTTCAGCCCACCCTTGTACCTACAAGCTAAATAAGCTATTGCTTAGGGCCACACACTCTTGGGGCCTCATGTTTTTAAAATATATTTTTATTTTATCATTACTTTTTATTATTTAGCATTAAATCATCAAATATATATATATATATATATATATATTTTATTCTTTAAGAATTATTTAGAGAAGGGCTTCAAATTTCATATATCTTAGGATCTCAACAGGTGAAAGTCGGCCCTGAACTCACTTCCTACAAAATCCACTGGATTTATATGGTCCACATGGTGCCAGTGCCTATGCCCAACCATTAATGCAATGAAAACTGACGTAGGTGTCATGGTAAACCAATTGGGCACAAACATACAATGTCAGTTATTTACTATAAATGTCCCCACAAGATTTAACAAGAATTTCTTCTTAATGTAAAAAGATGATTGTCAGCTGTACAAATTTAGTTACTAGTAGCAAATGTATTAAATCCAAATCCAGGACCTACCCACTCCTGTTGGAGAAATCCCTCCCTGATTGACCATATGTAGCCATACTCATGATACTTTACCAATTGTGGGTTGGTGAGGGTATTTAACCCATAGAGTGGATGGCCATGACTCTGAAAAGTTCATCTACTCTTTAACAACTCCTGTATTGTGCGCTGATGGGGTTCTACTTACCCTCCTCATCAGACCATTATCTGGTGGGGGAGACGGCCACTCAGATTTTGAATTCAGAGCTGTCCTTCTCCTAGACTAGTTGAAAGCCAAGGCTATAGGACCCATAGCTGGGGGGGAGAAGAGATGAATTCATATTTTTTCCAAAGGTATTTTCATGTAAGCGAATGTAACATGCTCGATGGCAATTCAGACTCAGTTCTCAGATCCGAGCTGCAATCCATTACTCCACTGTACATTAATGTATTAAATACTTAAAAAAAAAGAAAAAATTAATTTAAATTTTAAATTTTCAGCATCCCCTCTTCCTCATGAGCATATGTAGCTGCATCAATATAAACATCACTTTACTCTGATGAAGTCCTAAAAGAAGAAATGTGTCACATGAAACCTTTTTCCACTTTGTCATATATTTTCCCTAAAATTTTTCTGGATATATAAAAATTTATATTTATCATTTTCCCATTAAATATTAAATTGATTTCTCATCCATTTCTGCATTCTGTTTCAAAAATGTGTCTTTTAAGCAAATAAATATACAAATAACATGTAGACATGATTGCTTTTTGGGGGCTTTTTTTATATTCCCTTTGGGAATTTTTATTATTTTATTATTGTGATACACAAGGTTGATAATGATGAGACCCTTCATGAATGTTTGCAAAAATTGACTGATTTGCTTTTTTATGGCTTATCAACCCTTTGCAGGTTATTTAAAGCCAGAAAATATTTTTAGATTGTAAGAATTTTTTTTGTTTTTGACATTTGTCCATGCATTGAATACTGTTGCCATATATGGTCTGGTGCCCCTGCTGTGCATCTCGAGGTCATCGAGAAAATCCAGAGATGGATATGCAATGTGATATGTCCTGACCTGGCATCTTGTCTACAGTCACTTTCTCACAGGCATGATGTGGCTTCTCTCTGTCTTTTCTACAAATATTTTCATGGCAACTGTTCTGACGAGCTATTTTTACTGGTGCCCTGACTGCATGAATTTAAGTGTGCTACTAGGTTGGCATCTCAGTCCCACCCTTTCACTGTCGAAACAGTTAAATGTAACCACCTCTTCTACTCCAACAGCTTCTCTCACACTTCCCAACAGTGAAACTCCCTTCCTCTTACTTGCTTCCCTGATAGCTATAATTTTCAAATATTCAAATGTAATGTCAATCAACATCTTTTGATGTCTTGATCCTGATCCACGTCCTTCTCTATATCTTTTCCTTAAACACCCCTCTTTACTCTTGCTCTCACTCTCTGTAACCCCTTGCATGCTAGTGGCACTCCTGCCTTGCTTGGGGTGAAATGCTTAAAAAAAAATCATCCTTATTCCCTTTGTATTAGTAAGAAGGAATTGATATCTTTTCTTTATTTTTTGATTAATTCATTTTTTATGGTTTATCAACCCCTTACAGGTTATTTAAAGCAAAAAAATATTTTTTTTAGATTGTAAGAATTTTCTTTTCGGAGATAACAATGATTTAGTGATACAAGTCTTACTAATTAAGGAAGAAATCCTACTTTGTGTAAATACCTCCAGAGAGGATGCTACCCATCCCAATCACTACAATCTTAATCTCTTCATGTCTAGAGCCAACTATTATCTTTCCTACATACCCTACAATCTGCACTTTCTAAATCCTCCTTGTATGTGCAAAAAACAATCTCATTCAATAGTCCTCTACCTTGAGTGACCCTTGGGCCTTGTATTGGGTGAAAACAAAATAATGGAACAACAAATGATCCTGCAAAGCTGAAGCTTAGAACTCAGACAAATTCCTAGCCATAACCCATTACACCACCTGCACATCCAAGCTTACAGCATGTGGTAGTCACCCATTTAATTACTGACTAGGTTCAACGTTGCTTAACTTTGGTGATAGTACGGGAACTGGTGTTTGAACATGATGCGGATGTAAACATGAAAAGTTTCATGCAAGAGAAACGTTTGTCATATCCCACTTATTAAGTCTCTCACCTCCTACACAGCACTGCCGACAAGACCGGAGAGACCGGCACTGTCAACAAGACAGGAGAGACCGGCACTGTCAACAAGACCGGAGAGACCGGCACTGTCAACAAGACTGGTAAGAGCAATAACAATTCTGCCTGCTTTCATTTCTCAGTCCCTTCTTATCCCCACCCCATGTCTAAGACATGCTAAATAGCACAACCACTGCTATTCAAAAGCATCAGTTGTGCCACATGTGATAATCAGTCATGTTTTCCTACATATATATCTATGATAAAGTTTAATTTATAAATTAGCCACAATAAGAGATTAACAACAATAGTTAATAATAAAACAGAACAATTATGACAATATACTGTAATAAAAGTTAATGTGATGGACAGAAGACATATTCTTACTACAGAGAAGGGAAAAAAGAAGTGGCTGATGCTTGTGGCATGCTGAGTAGAAAAGAGGAGTGGCTGAAATTTGTAACACACCATAGAGGTAGAGAAAGAGGTGCGGCATATGGTCACAGCATGCAGATGGAGAAAGACGAACAGCTTATGATCATATCCCACCAGTGTGCGGTAGAGGTGCAGCTTATGGTCAGTACACAGCTGGGTAAAGAATAGTGGGTAATGGTCATGGCACACTGACTTGAGTTGTTTATAGTCATGACACCCATTGGGTGGGGGGCTGGAGTGTAGGAGATAGTTGGAGGGGCAGCTAATGTCTGTGGTCTGCCAGGGGATGAAGAAAAATGGTTGACACTCAAAGGCCTGTGAGAGAGTGTTGGAAAGAGAAGCAACCGACACTATAGGCTGATGCTCAGAGTCTTGAAGGCAAGAGATGCAGAGAAAATCTGTGGCTCAACTACTTGACACATTTGAGCAAAATAGTGGACGAAAGAGAAAAACTATGAAAAGAAAAAAAGGGGTCTTCAAGTATTACTGAAAACCACAAAAGAAAGAACAATAACATCCTGAAAGGCTACAACACACAGAGAGAAACTTGAATAAAACAGATTACTAACCTAACATGTCAAGATTATCTAAGCGCTCTTTGCTAGCTTCTGCTTTTGGCTGGAGGGTGGCACTTGATTGCAAAGGTTCGGGTTCATGACCAACCATTGCAAAAGCATGTAGGATGTAGTCATTATTGTGGGGCTGCGGACTATCCTGTTGAAAAGGGACAGTTTCCTGCTGTGGAAAATGGAACTGAGTTTCTTCCTGTGAAACCATTTTGGAGTTCTCACTGTTGCCAATATGAAGGTTTTCAAATGAGACAATCTCTGATGTCGTCTGAAAATTAACAGGGAAAATAGAAAGTTAATAGAGGGGAGAAAAAAATCAAAAAAAAAAAAAATCATAGGGAAACATTAAAACGGTTTATGCTTTAAGTTTAGAATTTTCAGAATTTACGTAAGGGACCTAAATATTTTGATTGATTCATTTTCTATGGCTCATTAATGCTCTTCAGGTTATTTACAGCCAGAATTTTCTTTCTGGGGGTGGGGGGGAATAATAATGATAATAATCTTACTAATTAACTCATAGCTGAAGGATAGGAATTGGACCTTCATTCTCTGATTAACAATTCCATGCCATTATTCCACCTGCCCATCCAAACTTACAGTACGTGGTATTTCTAAGTGGTCACCCATCTACATACTGATCAGGCTTGATGTTGCTTAACTTTGGTGATCATACAGGAACCAGTGTTTCAATGTGATGTAGCCATAAGCCACCTAAATATTTACACACACTAACTTATGTATATGTACTATCAACAATACCTGGCATTGTCCAGCTGCACTTGGCAGTTATTTCTTTCATAAATGCTATCAGCAAAACTGTTTATATTAAAACATTTTGATAGCATTTATTTTATGTCAACATTGCTTACTTCTCTTTATTCTCAAGCTGTGATCTAAATGCTAAGTTGTTTTCTACATTCAGGGACAGAAGATGGGTTAATCTGACAAACTAAACAATTACAAAAGCCAACAATTAAATCAGAAATTAATAAAAAAAAAAAAACAAACAATTACTGACAAACATGCCTGCAATAAGGCAAATATGTCACAAGGACAGTTTTTCCCATGACACTGCTGTTTTAAACTACATTTACTCTATTATCTATTATACCAACTGGACATCCAAGCTTACATCACCTGGTATTCTCAAGTGGTCACCAGTTTAGGAACTGATCAGGCTTGACATTGCTTAACTTGATTGAATGGAAACTAGTGTTTCAATGCTATATGTCTGTAAACCTTAAGTAGTATAAAAGTTTTTTTGCAAAGCCCTAATAAGTACTGAAAATTTCATTTAAATTGGATAATTCTGACTTTGGGTAAATTTTAAAAAACTGGAGGTAGTGTTTTTTTGTTGTTTTAACTTTATGTAAAGTGTTTGGTTTGGTTTTGTTTTATGGCATGTCAACCTTAATGGGTTATTTAATGCTGACAAGACTTTTAGGATAGATTTTGTATGAATAGAATATGTATTCTTTGGTTTAGATTGGTCTGGTTTATTTTATTTTACGGCATATCAACCTCAATGGGTTATTTAATGCTGACAAAATTTTTTATTGCTGGTAATGTTTTGTCAAAAATCTGTTTCTGGTAATAATTTTCCTTCAAAATTGTATTGCTGGTAATAATTTTTTCAAAAAAGTATTGCTGGTAATAGTTAACTATTTGCCCATAGCTGGGATCCTAACAGGTGCTACCACCCCAGGTCAGGGTGGACCTGGGGACATCAGCAATTAAGATGTGGTTCCATGATCCTCAAAACCTCCTGATCAGAGGCCTTGCTGCTGGATGTAGTTTATCGTCTTACCCAGGATGGTATCTAAAGTGTGATGATGCTTACACAATATATTCACAAAATATAGTATTGCCTGTTTTATTATTTTCTCAAAAGTATAAATATTTGGCACATTAGAATTTTTATTAAAAATTTTTATTTTGAGTTTAAAGCTTCCTTTCTTTTGATACAAGACTTGTTAATATGTGCAACAATAGAAAGGCTTACAAAACCTATAGACATCACTTGCAAAGCCCACTTTGAGAATCCCTGGTATATAAGATACCTCAACTTTGAAAATAATTTTGTTGAGTCATATATTTTGGTAGTGGAAGCTTAAAACAAAGAGCTCTCGTATACCAGCTAATATGCCACTTTACTCTTGAATTTCTCTAATTTGGAATTAATTTCATCCACATTTATTTTTTCTTTTGATAAAAAAAAAAGAAAACAGATTAGGTGAAAAAAAAAAAAATAGTCCTTACATCATTGCCCAAATAATATTTATATCGTTCAAGAAGGAAAGGACAGTTAGGAGAATATTTCTTGTGTTCTTCCCAGGGGTCATTTTCTGGTAGCCATTTATTGAGACGAATGCCACAGCTGAAGCACTTCACATGATCAAATGGAGCTGAAAATATTTTTCAGTTTATTAAAAATAAAATTTTTAAAATGTCAAATAAATTTATTGAACATCATAATCAAAATACAAATAATATAGAATAATTAAAACAAAATTTTACAAAGTCAAGGGCGGTTACTTTAAGCAAACAAAAATATAGTTTTACAAATATCAACAAATGTGTTAATACTTTACCTCATTTTGAACAACAATCCAATCTTTGATGTGAGCAATTATGGCTCTCCACAATGTCCTACCCTTTATAGCTCTAAGCAATGTTTATTCCCTTGCTAACTCTATCACTCCCTGTTCTTCTGTCCATTCACACAATATTGTTAGGTAGATTACTTGCTGTTTCCTTCTAGTCCTCTTGCTTTCAATCTGTCCTGTGAGTGTCAGATTTTCCAAGCCTTCTTTCCTTATAATATGCACCAGAAATTTCAACTGTCTTTCTGATTCTAAATGTTCTTTTCATTCATTTTCCATAAAACTTCCCCATTGCTCACATGTTCCAAAATTCTCATCATCCTTGTGTAGAATCACATTTTTTTTTAATCATTTCACCCCAAGCAAAGCAATAAAGCCACTAAGACATTTAAATCAATTTAGGTCTTTACGAAGAAATATATTTTGGTTGATACAAGGTCGTCAAAATGATGTGTACATAGGCATGAACGTACGTGTGCATGTATGTATATATGAGCTGTATCGAAGGGTAAGAATGTCTTTGAAGTAATTGCTCAGTCTTAAAATGTTCTGTTCATTTATCAAGTATAAAAGAGGTGAGGGAGAAAAGTAGAGATAGTAATAACGATCGCTTGACGTTTGTCAAGGAACGTGTTAATATGCTCATCTCCTTCTTTCTGGTGACAGGCGAACTTGCTCGTCTTTTAATTTGTTTTTGGGGCTTTGAAAAGGTCATTTGGGAATTCACTCCCGGATATGATTCGGACCTTTCCATTGGACGATGAACAAACTTTGTGTCGGCTCGCGAAAAGATCCGTAAAAGAATTTGTTTCTGAGAATTGAAGATTATTTGAATTTTGTTTATAAATGTTTCCTAGTTTTCTATTGGCTGAAAAACATTTCGCATCAAGGTGTGAAATTTCACGAGTTTTGTTTTGGATTTGCTTGTGTGTGTGTTAAGCAAAGTTTGTAAATTTGAGTCTCTATAATTTTCTAACAAAATACAAGTACCATGAAAACATTTACAGATAAGGCACAGGAAAAGGGACTGAAGCTGAGATACCAGGTCAAGATTGATAACATTGCAGATTCTTCTTTGGATTTTATCAAGTGTGAAAATTCTATGTGGGCAATCGTGATTGCATACATGAAATCTATCTTACACAAAAAGAGTGCTGAACTGCTACTTAATATCAATCCTGAGATAAAGAGCAGACTTGAGGTATCTTTTTTAATTCGAAAAACATAACACACATGGTCTGAATATTGCATTCCAGCATGAAACAGACAGTCGCCGCTCAGTGTCCACTACTATATTTACATATGCTCTATCCCTGATAGAGCACTTTCATCCATAAATATAGTGTGAGGACAGATGCCATAAGAAGTAAGCAAACTTGCTCCCTAAATGGGAACAAAGTTATGCTACTTGATCAGAACTCTCTAGGGCTAAAGAGAAGAAAAGGGATTTACAAGATGGCAGTCATGTATCCTCACATGTTTCAAACTATCAGTCTACCAGTAATCCACTGGTCATGTTTTGCATTTATTGTCATCAAATAGTAAGTAAAATATTATAAAGGTTTGAATTGTGTTTGTTTTTATTTGACACAAATAAGCACACTCAGCAACACAACATATAGAAAAAAAATTTTTTTTATCATATACACTGCGTGCCAAATTATTATCGAGATAACTATTTTACTAATATTTCAAAAACCGTCCAATCAATTCACACAAAGTTTTCACACAATGTTGGCAACACTGACCTGCGCAATCACTGAAATTTTTGTACTGATCTACACAAGGTAAACAAATTGGCGCCATATTTGTTATCAGCACGGTGATTTGAGCATGCCAAATTATTAGAAAGGTTTAGTAAAATTCTCAGAATTGAGCACAAAACGTTTATTAATGTTGCACGTGAATGTTTATGATCAAAAGAAACTAATAAATAAGATAAACAAATAATAACAGATACAAAGGCACAGTTTTAAACAACATTGTGTGAAAATTTTGTGTGAATTGATTAGATGGTTTTTGAAATATTAGAAAAAAAGTTATCTTGATAATAATTTGGCATGCAGTATATATATATATATTTTTTTTCAAACTGTTTATCCATAAACAGTTTGAAAGATCCTGCAAATTTTAAATTTTAAAATTTGCAGGTGAAAAGAAATGGCCCCTTTTGTGAATTCACTTTTGTAAGTATTTTGATTTTCAGAGTACAAAAACGAATATTTATTCATCATTGGTAGTTTGTGAATACCATAACTGGTTTCCTCCACATTTTTCAAAGAGTGACTATTTAATGTGGGATGTTATTGTTTCCCTTCTCTATTGTTTTAGTCATCCATTGTGGGATGGGTTTGTTTAGTGGCACAAGTCATGAGACAGGAAATAAAAATAAAAAATTAAAGTACTACAGCTTTGCCCTTCTCATGAGATGAAATTTATGCTTAAACCAAAAGGACACACACACATTATATATATATATATATATATATATATAATGTATATGTATGTACGTCTGTAGTGGGTTCTGCCCAGAATAGATTTGCTAAGTGGCTTATTGAGTTTCTTGATCCAATTTTTAGATTTTGATTCAGAATATTGTTTGTCAGATTTGTTCCAAATTGCAGCCCACTATTGACAATGAGTTTTTTTGTGTCTTTTGATATATCCACTTTGTTTACAAATTTCCTGCTTGATGAAACCATTGATATTTGCGTGGGATTTTTATATTGTGGCGCCGTAAAGCCTCCATCTTTCTCTGAGGTTGTTTTTGTCGAGTTGAGGGAGATGGCTACAAAGTCTGTCTCCTTCAGTCTTAAGAATTGCATGTATCAACAGATCTCGATGGCAGTGGGATGGGCAGTCGTTTGGGACCTCTTATAGTTAACATCTCTCTCAGTTTCCATGAGAGATAATTATTTGACAAAATCTTGAAGCCTTTTTGTTATTTCCATTATGTTGACAATACGTTTACATCGTTTTCTTCACATAATTAAGTGGAAAATTCTTTTCAATACTTAAATAATCTCTACCTCTCTTTGAAATTTACTATGGAAGTAGAACAGAACAATACCTTTCCTGGGTGTTTTTGGTCGAGAGAACTCCATCACATTTTCTCAGTAGCGTTTATAGGAAACATACCTTTTTGGAGGTATGCTTCAGTTGGGATTCTTTTGCTCCCAAAACCAAGAAAAGCAATCACATCAAAACTCTCACTCATCATGTTTTGATGATTTGTTTCGAGTGAAAGTTTGACGCTGACCTCAGGTAAATTAAACAATTGTTTCTTGTGAATGGTTACCTTGAATATGTGATTACAACAACCAGTGGACTTAAAATTGCTAAGTTTAATGGAGTTAAATTGTTTGGTCCATCTAAGTACCCTGTATACATGAGACTACCATGGATTGTTCCCAGTAGTCAGGTATGCGGCGATAAAATATCGTCTTCAGTCAGTCGATGTTTTAATTCCGTCATGGTCCAAAGTATTTTTTCTACCAGAAGGACTTTCCTCTCTGTCCATAAAGATGTCTTGCCTACACAACAGCAGAGTTGTTTAACATTATAAATGTCAGTGTGAGGCTGACCATGTGTGTAAGACTATCCTGGGTCTGGAGGTTAGAATTACCCAGTATGTTCCTGGTGAAATACATAGATCTGTGCCTGCAACATCGAGGTGCTCACAGGCAAATGAGTCTGTTATTGGTGAAAATTTATTGAATTCAGTTCTATGCAGGACACAGATGAGACTCCACCTTAACATCTTGGAGGCAGTTGTTATTAATATACAACATCCGACCCTGTGTAAGCAGAGAGAATTAAAACAAAGTCACACTTTTTTGGTGAATCCATGGCCAAATTGAGGGAAAATATTTTTTTTCTATCCTCTTCTGCCTTTAGTTCTATTTTAAACTTTGGTGGTTTCAAAAAATGTTTCATTTTGCCAATTTAGTTTTATACCGATAATATCAACTTCTGAAGACGAGTCTGTCAAAAAGTACCTGAAGTTATTATTTTATTCGGTGTGAGACTATTGTATCTGACTTTTAGAAATAAATTATGATCCCTGTCTTATCTTCATGCGTTTCAGAAATTTGTTATATATATATATATATATATATATATATATATATATACACACACACACACACACACACACACACACACACACACACACATACTTTTTTCTTTTTAAACATCTTTAGTTAAAGATGATGGACAAGGAAAACTTTATAAATTTTTTATTTAGCTTTTCCCGTGTTCTTATATTTTTCCATTTGGTGGGAGTGAGCGAGTACAAAAACTGTCCATATCTTTGATTGTTTCAAGCACTTTCATACATACATATATATATATATATGTGTGTGTGTGTGTGTATATAGGTGTTTGTATTTCAGATATAACTAAAAATATATCTCTAAGAGGACAAAATATGAAAAAAGGAAAACTTATAAAAAAAAAAGGATATTATACACAAAAATTTATCAAATGCATGAGTTATACATAGAAATAAATTCAACCACAACTTTCATGCAAAGAATGCCAAACTTATTAAAGAGTAAGTAACTTACTGAAATGGAAAATTCTAGAGAGTGCTACTATCGAATCTTATCAATATAAATCTGCATCTTGGATTTTTTTTCAAATATCACCATTTCTGAAAGAATCACTTCTTTCACAAGTCAACATAAATGGCTATTAAAAAATTAAAAACAACAAAAAAAAAAAAAGACGCTTAAATTCATAAACATATTGTTTAAAATATATAATATACAAATTAATCACAAATATTAATTACATTATAT